AGAAAGAGTTTCGGCCAACACTCTCAAATGACAGTGATGTGTATTTTAATGGACCACCTAGGAAGCAAAGCCTAAGGCTGTTAAGCAATGTGTTGTTAGTTTTCTCAGTTCTAGTTCATTACATTTCTTTTGTATTTTACATCAGAACCTGAATAGCGGAAAATCATTAGATGATTTAGCACAAATAATTAATATTTATCTATTTTCCGTCACATACAAGAACAACATAATATGTCTCGTAGACGGTAAATAGCTAACAAATTATTATAAGGTTCAATAACGCATTATTAACCACGCTTAACCTCCACTTATAACAGATAAACCTTTCGGTTCTCTAATGAGTACAAGTAATTATACGTTACCGTATTATATAAACATTTTTTTCCTTCTCTCTAATAGCGTTAAAAGCTTCAATTTAAATTGAATAAAGAAATGTGCAAACTGTCGATTTAAGACTACTACATTAAGTTTGTTTGCAGACATCGTTTTTTATTATTCCTGTCAAGTCTGCATCGTCTCGACTATGTGCTTTCTGAAATTAAATGTTAATGAAAAGTTAGCTCGTGTCAGTTCGTTTTTTTTTAAGAAAAGATTTGTAAAAAAAATCGGTAATATAAACGATTTATTTTGTAGGTCTATTTAATTCACTTTTTAATGATGTTTATATGAGGGACGGAACCTAAAAATATAACCAGAAGAAACTTAAAGTGAAACGTTTCATTGTTCATTGTACTTTTGTTTGTACCATTTTATGTGAATCGTGTCAATTTTTAAATAGCTGTGATTTGCGAAGGGGTAAATCATTTTCTTTTTCAAAATATATATGTATGAACGATTTTTATATTTAAACTGACAAGAGAAATTTTGAAGCGCATGGAGATATTTTGGATTTTTTTTCATGAAAGCTTATCATTTTTCTATACAGTTTTCAGCAAATTATGAGTATTATCGAAGCAAATGTGTCTTGAAGTAAAGGTCCATATAAGAGTCAAAAGATTTCTAAATCGACTTGTATATAAAAAAATAATGCTGAAATTTGCATCCATTTAATTTATAAGAACACACTTGCCACATACAACTAAATTCAAAATAATACAAATGGTGTCTGTACTTATTATGGACATTCTTCGACTTCGTCTGTTTTTTTGTCATTCTTTTCGATTATGATTCGCCTTCTTCTTCATTTTCTTTATGAACTAATCAAAGCATATCGAACTTGTTTTGATGACACAGCTAAAAGTACATATACCACTCGATACAACTATATTGCATGCTGTAGGGGAAATAACTGCAAGGCACTTCTACGACGAATGAAGCGTCAATTTTAAAGCATGGAAAGAATGAACGGTTTAGCACACACATCTTGTGGTAGGATAATTGTTTTTTTTTTATAGAGATGAGTGTAATTTCCAATGAGTTTTTGCTCTATGTTGAAGGCCTCACTGTGACTTTGAGATGAAGAACAGCAATAAAAGCGCTGTTCCTTTGCTTTTGTTTTATCTTCTTCATGTTCGTGTAGTGATTTTGTGTCATGAATTGGTACATACATCATATCCTATCTTTTACATTAGAGAACATTTCTGTCAGTTATTTTTCTTTACACTACCATGCTATCTGGTGTGTTCCCATTTCGCCTTAGCTGGAAATTCCAGGTAAAAAAGGTAAAATAAATACTAAGGCGATATGGGAATTGTACTAAGGCGAAATGTGAATTTAGATGAAAAAATTAAATAAACAAATTAAACCTCTGTGTTTTTATAACAATATAAACAACATGTAATTAGGGATTTTTTTTTCTCTTGGATTATTATTTTAATATTTATTTATAAAAAGACACTTTTTATGATTTAAAAAATTGTGAAATCAGAAAAAAAATCTACAATAAAACATAAGTCAGTAGGAAAGTTGCTTCTTTTATGCTTTATTTAAGAAAAGTTTCGATTGTATGAATTTTATGCAATTAAAAAATTCTTAATAATTCAATTATCCTTTACATTGTGCAACACAAAAAGTTAAAAAGAAAGAGAAAAAATACATTCCCACAGATTTATTTACATATATGACAGAAATTTTAATAAAATAAATAAAATAATAAAAAAAAATTTTTAATTGTGTTAATTATATATAATAAAGAAAATTTCGCCAGACCACAAGTAGAGAACCATTTCTACAAGCTGATGATGGTGACATCAACAAGCTACTCATATTTACAACTGCTGAAAATCTATGACAACTGTGCACTGCAGACACTGTATACTGTGATGGAACTTTCTACACAGCACCACCAATGTTTGACAGCATTTTCACCATTCATGCATTTGTTGGGACAGCCATGTTTCAAACATATTTGAAATTATCAATGTGTTCAAGAAAGAGCAAGCATCTAACGAGGTAAAGAAAGTACAGTACGCCAATTTGAAGGAAACCCTACACAATGGTACAACTGACTATATTCAGTATGGTGATGCAGCATCTTACATCCTCAAACTTGGAAACTAAATGAACTTTGAACATTCAAATGTGTACATCAGTGCCTTGTTTTTCAAAATATGAACTATATGGAAATAATTCTTATGTTTTATGTATAAGTGCTTATTCTCATGCTATTATTTATAACATTGTGCTTTGAATTCAGTGCTGATTCAGAAATAAAATATTTGTTATGATAGTTTGATATTTGTCTTTATTTATTCATTAAAATATGAAACATCCATATCCAATTTGTCATATCTAATAAGACTTTATTTACAAAATATAACACATGAGTAAAAAAATACAATTTCAGAAAAAGAAGAGCAACTATAAAAAAAAATATTTTAAAAGTGGGACACAAAAAATCAAAAAAAAAAATATCTTCTTTTAAATAGTATTTCATGGTAGAATTTGACATCAAAATAACAAATATCAACTAATAGCAATACAAACAAAACATAACTTAATTACGTTGTTTACAGAAGCTCCCATTTCGCCTTAGTTAATTCTTGTGTACCTGAAAATTTGTACTAAGGCAAACTGGGATTAATTTTATATAATTATTTTGACAGCTAAGGCGAAATGAGAATAAGCCTGCTATCTTACAATATAAGGGTTATTATCCTGAATGTAAATCTGGTAACATTTACAAAACATACCAAACATCATGCAATATATACATTACAAGGTTATTCGATAGTAAATGGAATGCTGTCAACACCTTTTACCCTGACACGATAACATGACACTTATCTGTTTATAACATTTACACCCTTTAAGATAATCTACCTAGATAAAGTCGGTACGTGTAGGTAAAAGTCTATCTACGAATTCCTCTTCATGACTCCAGAAAATTGACGATTTAATCGATATAGTTTGTAAACAGTGAAAGTTTTTGTATCTTTTGTTTATTTTCTTTAAGGTCGTAGCTTGTTACTATACTTTTATTTACGCGTGTGACCATGTCAAAATTTTGACATGGAATGCCGGTCACGTGCTCCTTTCATTATATGACAGCTATAGCAATACTACTATTTCCATCGCAGGTTTCATGCTTAAGATTTAGTTGACACTTTGTAATGATAATTTAGTCTAATGAACTGTAAATGTTAGCCATGACATTGGGGTACTTCAGTACATCTGGTTGAGGAATCTATGGATACTCTGTCGTATAGATGTGAGGACAACAACATAAAATTTTGTCCATGCATTTTATATAAAAATGTATATTTAAGGCAACAAAAAATATGATGTCTTAATGTAATTTTCATATCTTTTTACATTTAAAAGCTTGAAACATGACCGAATTCTACTTGTTGTCGAACTTTTACTTGACATGAGCAACACATCGGGTGCAAATAGTGGAGCATGAATCGCGTATCCTTCCGGAGCACGTACGTTCAACCCGGTTTTAGTTGGGTTCGTTTGCTCAATAAATCTGATTTTGAAAGCTAGACTGTTGTTTTTTTTTTTTTTTTTTTTGGTCATTGCGTTTTTTGTTTTTAGTCATTGTGTTCTTTGTTTTTGGTCATTGTGTTCTTTGTTTTTGGTCATTGCGTTTTTGTTTTTTTTTGTCATTGTGTTTTTTGTTTTTGGTCATTGTGTCCTTTGTTTTTGGTCATTGTGGTTTTTTTGTTTTTGGTCATTGTGTTCTTTGTTTTTGGTCATTGTGTTCTTTGTTTTTGGTCATTGTGTTTTTTGTTTTCGGTCATTGTGTTCTTTGTTTTTGGACATTGTGTTTTTTGGGGTTTTTTTTGTCATTGTGTTCTTTGTTTTTGGTCATTGTGTTTTTTGGGTTTTTTTTTGTCATTGTGGTTTTTTTTGTTTTTGTTTGTCATTGTGTTCTTTGTTTTTCTGAGATTTTGGATTTTGCTCGACCCTTGGTATCTTCTTCTCTTTTTATATCTATTTTTTTCAAGTAAATTTGGAATGAAGTTGTATTTTATTTTTTATTCTGTTCACAACATAGACATCCTAGTTATCAATCAGATATGTTGAGTTCAATTTGTAACGTCAGAACGAAATTTTAAAGTTCTCAAAATATTTATTTTTCCTTTTATACATTCAGATCTTTATAAAAGTCATATAAAGTATTGTATAACGAGAGCCTTCGATTATGATATTATAGATTTTTCCATCTTAAACATCTGAGTATCCAGATGAGGGATTATATTTGTGTATGTGCCTGTCAGGAGCCTGTAATTCAGTGGTTGTCGCTGGCTGCTGTATATCATATTTGTTTTTTCGTTTATAGTTTTGTACTCAAATCAGGACGTTAGTTTTCTCGTTTGTATTGTTTTACATCGGGCCTTTTATAGCTTATTATGCAGTTTGAGTTTTGTCCATTGTTGAAGGCCGTACGGTGACCGTAGTTGTTAACTCCGGAGTTGTCGCATGGCAATCATATCACATCATCTTATTTTGCTACATTTTACCATATTATTGTTCTAATCACAAATCTTTTAGTTTATTCATTCAGTTTTATATTTGCGTTTGACGAATAAATGTTATTTTTTTTATACTTTCAGGGAGATTATGCAGTGAATTTTAGAATTCTAGACGAAGAAAGTGGTGAACTTGGTTGTTTGAATTTGCGGTTTGCCATGAAAAAGCGAAATAAAGGATGGCTTTTCCGAATATAATCAAATGAAACAATATCATTGCATACAATTACGGGTGAATATAGATATCTATTGACAAACTGATCAAAATGAAATCCCAACCTCCGTTATGGATGCTTTCATCGACTGTTCTTATAAATACAGTGTGCCGACTCAACTTGCACGCGAAATGCTGTCATTTGTCAGGGTGTACAAAAACGAAAACAATACAGAACGTGTTCAAGTTACTTCGTACAACACTTAGCCGTTAGTTTAGAATTTATGTGATTCTCTTCATTTCTAATGATCATGAGATCTTAACTCACTGTTTATGCTTTATGAACTTAAAGCGGACATGACACAGTGAATGTTGGTGTCACATAATTCAAAATGATAAAAAGTAGCAAATTATCGTTCCCGAATAGGTGGCGCCGTGGTAGCCGGTCCTGTTTATCTTCCGGCTTCTGCACTGTTCATACTGACAAATTTACAATCAGGAATATAAAGCAGGTGAAAGTAGGGACAGGACGATATATTGCATTGCTGATTTTGAGCATCCCTTAGTATCTTATGTATTGTGTTTTGTTGCTTATTTTAATATTGTGAACAATTGTAGCATTATGTATTTTTTTCATGTCGAATTCTTTGCATTGTATTTTCACCATTATCATGATCATATCTATATGACGTCATTCCCAAACGTTCAAGTCTTTCATTCTCCAAAGATAAAAGTTCAAAACAAATGAATTAGGAAAATGACTTATAAGCTAGGTAACCGTCGATAGTTATTTTTGCCTTTAGGTTTTCTTATGACGATATTGAATATTTTTTATTGGTAGATACCAACGATGGAACAAATACTAGAAACCTTTGAGCTCTCTATGAATAAACAAACCGCAATCATACATTTCATATAAAAGTCCTTTAAAGTTTTTAAAGAAACAACTACAATCTCGATTTTAAACAAAATTCGGTTGTCAGGTTTTAACATAAATTCAACATGTATACTTAAACTAAGGAAAGAATGTACAAAGTATTTTTTTGTGGTGGCCATGTGAGTCCTGTATTTTGTATTTTCAGAATAAACGAAAAACAATATTTCTTTAACTATAAAGTAACTCTATTCCCAAGAGTAAACAAGTCTAGAAAACGTTCTACTAAATTTAGTTCTGGTATCTTCACTAAAGAATTGAATGCTTCGTTTTGTAATTTAATTGGGGTGTAAAAGTGTTGACCGAAACACATTTTGTATGAAGCGCGGAAGCGCTTTCCGCGCTTCATTCTAGAAATGTGCGTACGATCAACACTTTTACAACCCTATAAAATTACTAAGAGAAGCATTCAATTCTCATAATTACATTTTTATGCTAGGGTCATGAAAAATCGATTTCTATCATTTATTTCTTTAATTAACATGTACACTTTATTGTGATGACACGTGTCATCATGAATGTTACACTTCATTTGGATATGAAGGTTAATTTTAGTATGACGCGCAAGCGTTGTTATCCAATCAAAATAACGGATTCTTCTGAAACATACATGTAATGTAATTATTAAAATAAAAAAAGAGACATAAGCCGTTTCAATAGATATAACTAAATACAACCGCTGACGAGGTTCCTCACTAGGAACAACCACTTGCACATTCGGCGGGATTAACATGTTTTTCTCTCTCAATTCTCCATCTTGTAACATTAGATAAAGGTACAATAAAAAACGTACAATAAAAAAATCAGTTCAGAAATAGCACTCTACTCTATTTCTGGTATCAAAGATACCAAAACACAGGTGATATCAAAGCCAAATTAAATCACACTATACCACATAATGGTCGCTGTAACTGTGAGATTTTTTATACCATATAGCAAAATTATTAGAAAGGATGTTGATTTTATTAGGACGACGGTTGTGATCAAACCCGATAATTTCTTGTGCTCAATTGTAAACCACCACAGCGGACGAATATAGTGAAGAATGAGGTTAAATTTCACAACACTTTAAAGTAGTTCAAGCAGAATTCGAATAATGCTCTTTTTTCAAATGCCAAGTTGAAAACGGATCGACCACGGACCTGTCACATTCAATATATATATATGTTGTATATACAAAACAAAATAACTGGGGATGAATAATGAGACAGCAAGCATAAATCAAATTTGATACTCGAAGACGAAATGATGCGTCGGCATTAAGTTGGAAAACTACACTTAGACTTAGAATTTCCTTTAAGGGAGAAATTGAATCCAGAAGTGATTCAGTAGTAAAATAGTCTCTGCATGTATTCAAGTTACTAATTGCTTTACTTGTGTAGGGTGTATATATATGGAACCAAATTCCGAATAAATGAATAAAAATCGATTATAGATTTGACAATGAAATCGCACAACGGGTGCTACACATGTAGCACGAGATGCTTACTTGTTGACAAAAAATGTGTTACTCCGTTTGAAGTTCTCGTGAATTTGGCCGTTTTGCTCTCTTGGTTGTCTGTTGGTACTTGGACATATACTGTTTCAGAATATTAGGTATGTGGGTACTTTAACTGTCCGTACACCCGGCAAAATAAAAAAAAACAACATAATAAATCGTACAGTCGTTGTCCATTATTAGCCAGTCATACCGATTTTAATCCCCCCTATAATGCATTAGAATCGGAAACGGCGAATTGATATTTGTATTTTATCTTCATGTTAAACTTTCTAAACAAGTTCATCAATGCCATGCTAAGACAGTACCTCATGCACCCGATCAATCATCACTTCATAATGTGTATAAAATTTTATTTTATTATTTTCCATTGATATATTGTAAATTAATATTTATTTATAGCAATAAATGTCAAATGGATGCATATACTTTTTAAAATATTAGTTAAAAAAGTGTGCGGCATTTATTTTTACAAGACTTTTATCTGTGTATGTATAAGTTAAAGTAGAGATAAAAAAAACCCGAAAACATTTACATTGAAATGTGTCGATTTGGTTTCCCAAAACAATCAGAATGATATATCTACGCGCACGACGCATATATGTCATCAAGAAGTATAAAACTAATCCAACGAAGGATGAACTGACCGACACTTCAACAACATTTCCATTGACATCTTGTGACCCAAAAAACCGTAACCGTATCTGTCAACCAACATGAACTGGTGAATCTAAGATACCGTCTATCAAAAGCATTACATATTTAAAAATCAATGAAACAAAAAGAGCACGGGAGTCATTGCGTTATAGAGAATATACATATGTCTATATTGTCCTTAACATGTTTGAATTAAACAACTATAACAAGCCATCCAACTTCTCTGTTTTACTTTCATAAAACATGAAAACTTGCCTTATGTCGATGCAAATTATGATTTTAAATTAGTTGCTTTCATTATAAAAATAAGGAAATGTGGTATGATTGCCAATGAGATAAGGAAATGTGGTATGATTGCCATTGAGATAAGGAAATGTGGTATGATTGCCACTGAGATAAGGAAATGTGGTATGATTGCCAATGAGATAAGGAAATGTGGTATGATTGCCAATGAGATAAGGAAATGTGGTATAATTGTCAATGAGATAAGGAAAGCCAATGAGATAAGGAAATGTGATATGATTGCCAATGAGATAAGGAAATGTGGTATGATTGCCAATGTGATAAGGAAATGTGGTATGATTGCCAATGAGATAAGGAAATGTGGTATGATTGCCAATGAAATAAGTAAATGTGGTATGATTGCCAATGAGATAAGGAAATGTGGTATGATTGCCAATGTGATAAGGAAATGTGGTATGATTGCCAATGAGATAAGGAAATGTGGTATGATTGCCATTGAGATAAGGAAATGTGGTATGATTGCCAATGAGATAAGGAAATGTGGTATGATTGCCAATGAGATAAGGAAATGTGGTATGATTGCCAATGAGATAACTTTCAATCAGAGACAAAAAGGACGAGGATATAAACAACTAATATGTGCCCCTTTACAGCCGATTGCAATGAGTGTGTAGGTAGAGCTAATATCTTTGGTTGGCTTGCTTACTAGCTGAACCGTGAAGTCATTATTAGATTAGGTAAACTACCCTTCTTTTGACTAGTCCGACAGATAACCGAATCTATCTGTCTGTAGGACTAGACTATTTCGAAAGGAGGGTAGTATACCTTTCCTAATACTGACTTCACGGTTCAGCTAGCAAGCAAGCTAACCAAAGATATTAGCTTTATCTACACACTCAATGCAATCGGCTGTAATAGCAGCCTTGTTCCTGTACTGTTGTGAATCACAGTTTATGGTCAAAATCAGTCAGTAAAGACCCGTCTTAATTCCATTTAATTGATAAATTCAACAACACTTACCGTTATCTTGATGATATTTTTTCGTTGAATAATCAATCAAGAATTTTCTAATTATACTGCCGAAATTTACCCGCAGGAACTTACCTTAAATAAATCAAATATTAACAGCAATAAGTGTCCTTTCCTAGATTTAGATATTCCAGTTTTACACCAAAAACTCTACACAAAAATTTACGACAAAAGGGATGATTGATATTTTAGTCTTAAATACATGCTTTTTTTATTAGTTGTTATTGGCTTTGATCTAGCTGTCAATAATCTGCGAGTACTCCAGGATCTCTACTTAGTGTCCTTTTTGTTGTTCGGGATGATGGATGGATAAATACCCTGCCACGATCTGTGTTTATGTTTGATGTTTTTCTGCTTTGTATCGATCTGATGAGTTAAACCTTTTTCAACTGATGTTTAAAGTTTATCTTATGTTGTGCTGTTACACCACTGTCCCAGGTTAGGGGGAGGGTTGAGCGCTCACAAACCTGTTTAACCCAGCGACATTCTGTATGTGCCTGTCCCAAGTCAGGAGCCTGTAGTTCAGTGGTTGTCGTTGGTTCATGTCTGTCATATTCGTTTTTCGTAAATTGTTTTGTTATAAATTAGGCCTTTAGTTTTCTCAATTGAATTTTTTCATATTTTTCATGTCGGGGCCTTTTATAGCCGACTATACGGTGTGGGGTTTTCTCATTGTTGAAGGCCGTACGTTGCCTATAATTGCTTACATCCACTTTATTTGAACTTTGGTGGATAGTTGTCTCATTGGCAATCATACCTTATCTCCTTATCTTAATAAAGGACATCGTACGGTTTTCAACAACTATAAATAAAAAAACGCACCGTATAGTAAGCTATTAAAGGTCCAGTCATGACAAATTTGTTAAACAATTCAAACGAGAAAGCCAACTTTTGTTACACAACATCAGTTCAAACGGAATTTCGGGGGAATCCTTGTGCAGAATATATGCTTAAGCATTAGTGTCAGATTTCAGACACAAAACATGGCTTCTGAATTAAGAACGTCGATATAAAATGTAGCGATGCAACCAGGTCGAAAATATGACAAGATAGAAACTGACGTTAAAGGGAAAATTGTCGATTTTCAAATCTATATTAGAAAAACAAAGGATATGGGGTATCCATCCATGACACAAAATTAGTACATGCACAGCAAAAAAAAAAAAAAAAAAAAAAAAAAAAAAAACCCACAAAAAGGCAAAGGAACGGCTCTTGTATTGCTGTTCTTCATCTCATAGTCACAGTGAAGCCTTCAACACGGAGCAAAAAAACTCTCACATCACTGCAAGTTTAAGACGTATTCATTACGACTGGAACAAAAGAAATGAATTATCTATGTAAAAATGGGAAAGAAGATACCAAAGGGGGTGAATGGAAATACAAAGGGGGAAGAAAGACTGAAAAAATAACAATAAGGAGATGTGGTATGATTGCCAAATGAGTAAAATATCCACCAAAGTTCAAATGAAGTGGATGTAAGCAATTATAGGCAACCGTCCGGCCTTCAACAATGAGAAAAACCCATACCGTATAGTCGGCTGAAAAATATGAAACAGTTCAATTGAGAAAACTAACGGCCTAATTGACGTGGGACAGGCACATAAAGAATGTGATGGGGTTAAACATGTTTGAAGGCTCAAACCTGGGACAGTGGTGTAACGGGACAACACAAGAATAAACTTTCAAAACAATTAACAAAAAAGCAAATATGAGAAATCACCATATCAGAAAGTAAAAAAGACGATTAAAAGCATCAACAGACTACTAAAGAAAGAGTAACTTGAACCACATAAAACAAGGGGATGAACTCAGGTGCTCCGGAAGAGTTCACAGTTCCTGTTCAATTATAGACAACTGTCACGTGGCTCATTTTAAATTCTATCAAGTTGTAGTCGGTGATAAGGGTATATATCATAGCTGATTGATATATGTCTCTTGTGTAATACTCATTAAACTTTGATATATTCATATCATGTTATAAAAATAATAATAAAAAAGGAATGTAGTATTGTAAATGAAATTTGTGTAATAAAAGTAACTGCAATACAAATTACCCCACCCACGTACTAAACATCAACACCAGCTGAAAGACACTACGTATATAAGACTAATGGCTTTCATTTCCCGACTTTGGACCGGCGCTGTATATATATATATATATATAAAATCGATTCAGCGGTGTGGAAACTCTTTTAAACATACTAAATATATGCTTGAATTTTGGTGTTAGGGCCCAGATGTGCACATTTTGGAAAATAATTCTTCATCAGTGACACTAAGATAAGTTGAAAATGAAACTGAGATAAAAAGGTACTGAATAATAGTTGATCACCGTGAAATCTTCATTACACATGTTAATGCATTCAACAGGTAAGCAACTAGACGCTCATTAGCCTTGCACTTTAAGCAGAATTCTTAATGAAAATTTAAGAATTAGCTTTTCAGACCAACTTTATATTAAACTGCAGGCAAAACGCTTCATGAAGAAATAGTACGCTAACACAAGTTATACAAGACCAAGTGAAATGTACAACCTGACGGGGCGAATGAAATTTGAAATGTAGACATTATAACTTAAACCAAACACGAAAATTATTTTTTCTAGAGATCAGTGATAGCTCTGATCAACTAAGAATTACAACAAGTATGAAATGCAAAAGAAAACAAGCTAATATAAAAATGTTATTTGCTTTAATGATGTTGATCAACCTTTTATATGTACATACATGTTGATAATAGAATGGTCATTTTCGAAAGAAATTCAAAAACCGCACCACCATGGTGTTGACCCAGATCTTGTTCCATGACATTTACACATCAATCTTTGGTTCTGCCAGAGTGGGCAATTGGATGGAACTTCGATGCACCTACCACCAATGTGTCCCTGGCACCTGCATCTAGTCTGGCAACTTTGCCAAGCTATATTGGTAAACCAACTCGTCTGTCTTGTGCATCTGCTCCAGTCTTCATAGCAATCACCAACCACATTCGCATCAGATGAGGGAATATGCAGTAGCATAAGCAAAGACAAACTCAGCAGAACCCCACAAAGACCAAGATATCCCATTGAAGCTGAAAAAATAAGATCTTGAATTACATTGATTTCGTTAGCATTGATTGGCTTGAAAAAAACCCGGATATGCAAGTAAATATGCATGCATATGTTCATACAAATTCATACCAACAAAACTGAACTGCCACAGGGCAATGAAATAAATTATACATAAAAAAACGAGGCAAACAATATAAAAATAAGGAGATGGGGTATGATTGCCAATGAGACAACAATCCACCATAATTCAAATGAAGTGGATGTAAGCAATTATAGGCAACCGTACGGCCTTCAATAATGAGAAAAAACCCATATCGTATAGTCGGCTATAAAAGGCCCTGACATGAAAAATATGAATTAATTCAATGGAGAAAACTAACGGCCTAATCTATAACAAAACAATTTACGAAAAACAAATATGACAGACATGAACAAACGACAACTACTAAACTACAGGCTCAAGACAGGTACATAAAGAATGTGGCGGGGTTAAACATGTT